GTGCGTATCTGCCGGAACATTGACTGAGGCCACCACGTATACCGCGCTCGATGAACATGATCATATCAATGTCGGTGAGCAACTCAAATCTTAAACGCGTATGTTTCAGCATGGCGTCCCACGTGAAACCTGGCAACGTATAGTAATGCGCGGGATCGAAATCGAGACTGTAACTCGCGACACAACTTTCGCGGAAATTTTCGAAAATGTCGGCTAATAACAATACATCGGTTTTCAAGTATAGATCGCTGTACTCGCCGAGCGTTCGGATGGAAAATCGCTGCCATACGTTCACGGCGTGAGCGTAATCGCCCTCGGATACTGTATCGCCCGTTAACGAACTGTAAAATGATTCGCGCGGTGGTAACTCGGTTTCTTCTAACTATTCGATACAGTCAATGTATTCATATGGAAATACACCTTTACGCGAGAGTAGATCGAAATCTTCCATGCTAAGATTATAAAATTCTGACCTTGTAATTTTTGATTTGTCTTTGTCGAGATACGACGCCAACTTATCGAGTCTTGCACTTAGAAATTTGAAAGAATCAATGAATCTTAATTTTATACAATTTTTCTGAAAATGATTTTCATTTTTGTCTTTGGTGCTGTTGACGTATTTCGTGAACGAAATATATTTTTCTTTCGTAATCGGTAATATATCTACTTGTCGTACGCGATAGCTATTTCTTTAATTATAAAGTGCGCGTCGTACCCCTATAAATTATGAAATACAACCGGAATATACAGCGAAGTTTTATAATTTAAATTGCAATTTGAATGCGCGGGACCCCTGTAACGACCGGTTAAATGGCAATGATCGCGGACCCGTGTATCGTCCGGTGCGAACGGTTTCAAACAAATATGACAACGCGTCGCGCTACGATATGTCTCCCATTGCTGCTTCGATAATGCCTCCATGGGCACGTTGGCGGATACAATATCTTTGACGCGATGCGCTAAACTTCTGAGTTCCTCGGTGAACCATGCAACGCAATCGTTACCGCGATGAAAACGATATTTCGTCAACGAGTTGTCGTATGAGCAACGCACGTAGCCCACACTACATACCTCATGCTGTTGGTATGTGTACGATGACGCATCTTCTTTGTCGGGCTCCGTCTTCCGCAGGACGCATTCCAGGTCGGCATACACGATGAATGAAACGCATTTCTTATTGCAGTGGTTGTTGAATTCGAGCCACCTGTCGTCCTCGCTCGGCAGGCGGATGGCGCAGTTGTTGATTTTCCCACAGTCTATTGCGTGTAACTCCAATTTTTCGCTCGTACTGAAGTAGTGCAAGCATCTGAAAAAAAACGCATATAAATTATTATTATCATTTATTAATATAAAGGACAATTATAAATTTTTTTTTTCCGCACACTTACCGATCGCAGAAAAATTTCTTGTGCTCCATTCTTGTGACTTGCGATCTCACGAGACGGGACAAGTTCTTGATCCATGCGAAATGGCCCACATTGTCGTCGCGTGGATCTTGCAGATACAGGAGATTGATATGCTTCTCCTTCTTATCGCTGGTGAGCCGTAGAGGAAGGATCTGCTTGTTTTCGATGCCGTATACGTTGATCGACATGTCGTTCAATTGTTCGAATTTGTTAATGTCTTTCAAAATCATTGGAAACTCGATGCCCGCAAGATTTAACACTGCAGTGTAATGTGGATACGATGATTCTCGATACACATGTTCATCAGCCGGATGTAGAGCGGCGACCACCGACCACGCGAAGCACGCATTGTCCGTCGTACGCACACTGATCGCCGCTCGTTCCGCTATTTCCCGCGGCACTTCGACATGACATCCCGCGCGCATGGGATTTAATTTATTCACGTTGATAGTCAAATTGAGGATTCGCGACAGCGCCCACCCGCTGTCGCGTTCTTGGAACTCTTCGAGCGATGTCAACGTGGGCTCGATGACGTGCCGCTCGTACCACTCGCGCAAATCGGTATATCTCAATGTTCTTAGTGTTTATACTCTTAATGGCATGTTTATCTTTCGTCGCGAACTCACCGTTAAACGCGGTATTCACTTTTGCACTACCGTGTCTTTCTACAGCGTCTCGAACTTGCCCGGGCACTATTTCTCTCGCGTCTTTTAAAAACCGCCGCGGCTCGATGTAATTAGAATTTAACACAGCGCCCGTCAATATACGACTTTCAAACGCGGCATCAATCTCTCGCCAGACGAGAGATTGCTCGTTGCCACTCGCGTGCCCTCCACCACTCGCGTGGCCACCACCAATGTGCACGAACCGTCACTCCAATTGCGATTTTGCACCCGCGAGTCGCGCGATCCTCGCTACCACGGATTGTCTATGTCCAACGGCGAGACGCGGACGCTTGGGACGACAAAGTTCTTCGAGCCGCTCGATGCACTCGTCGCATCGTTGCAACCACGCGAAGCACTCCACCAGAGTAGCGACCTGGCCGCACTGCTCCAGCAGTTCGCGTTCCACTCGCTCGTGGTTTTCCATGTCTTTTTTCAGTCTTCAAATCACAATACTGTTCACAATACTGTTCAAACAGTTTTTTAATTTGTACACTTGGATTAGCCACACTTTTCGCACTGCTCTTACTGCGATCAATTCGACAGTTTCTCAAGGTACCAACTGAAGTGTCGAGCCCTCAAGATCTATATATATTTCGTTATGTCCAGTGGACTCCACGATTTCTCCGTTTCGTGAAAATTCCGACAAAAAATAGTCGTTAGGACAAAGCACGAACATAAAACTCGAACGTCACCGATCGGCGAGCAGGGCAATATTCAAGAAACATGTCATTAGAAATCTTCCCAATGATATTGGAAACATAAGAAAAAACATAGATCCTCAGAATCTTCAGATCCATGGCAATAAAATTTATGGTAAATCATGTAGAGAAAATCATATTTCCAAACGCGTAAAAGCAAGTTGAAGGGCGTTTTCTCATCAAACAACGGGAAGTTGGTAAAATAAAATATGGGATCACAAAGTGTAGCTTTTAATTTTTAGATTGTCGATCGTAGAATTTAAGTAAATATTATCTAGACGAAAGAACGCATATTCAAGTAATAAAAGAGAAATCGTTGACAAAAAAAGGGGGTACGTTCGACTCGGAGTATTCGCCTTTGTGTGGATACCTGCACATCCTGCATTCCACATTTACTGCAGAAGAGTTATGTTTTTTGTATAGCAGCCGAAATATCGGCGCTTCTCTTAGCGCGTCACAACATACCACCGATCTAACAGTGTACATGAACAGTGTACAAAGCTTTTTTCGTTTAATCGTAAACTTCGATTACGAGCGATAAGACGTGGATCGAGTAAAAGAATATATACGTCGAAAATCGATCGAGCGCAAGGGGTACCGTCCCTTACAGCAAGGTCCGCCAAGTCCCCCACCACAATCGAAGGAAAACCTGAGATATTGGGAATGTCCCAACGAAAAACATTAAAGTCACCAACGAGTTCCTCATCATCAGCGCAATCAAAATATAAGCCATAAGTTATTGCATTTACGGTGAAATGCATATTATTCTTCGCTGAAAAAGCGAATAGTGATCAAAAAGTTTTTTATTCTCTTTTTTCCAGAAACCGCTGCTGATCGCAAAAGAATATTATAAAATGAGAAAAATCGGTGTAATAAGATGTGAATAAAAATAAATTT